TGGGTGACCCACAGAGGTCCCTGCCAACCCCGAACATTCTGTGATTCTGCGACAGCTTCCAGGGCTCCGCTGGCACAGGGCAAAGTGACCGCGAGAAGTATTTTGAAGTGAAAAGGGAGCGCTGTCGTTCAAATAACGCGTGTTTCTTTTGTGCTCACGTACGTAAAATTGCTGACAGTTAGGACAGGCCAAGGGGTGCGAGAATAATCCTTCCTGGTGGCAAAACAGGGACTTTTCTGAATAAGCTCTTTAAAAAGCTGAGTTAGGAAGAGAATACCGTGCAGCTGTATGTTCTTGCAGTAACGCGTTCCTCACCTTGTGCCCCGCGCTGGCAGGGAGGGCTCGCGAAGGCTGCGAGAAGCCGGTGTCAGAGGTTAGCTGGCAGAAATGAAAGCAAGCTGCTCAAAGTCCTGCTTTTGTCCGAAACGGGAAGGGAGCGGATACGGTTTTGCGCTAAGCCTCTGGTACCTGAAACACTAGCCGCAGCTCCCAGGCGCTATGCCCCCGTTGTCCCCGCAGCTGCCCTCCCACCCTCGCTTTCCCGGTGTCACCCCGCCTTCCCCGTACAACACTGTGAATACGACACCGGTAGCTCTTTGTAACGTTCCCATTAAGACCGCGTGGAGCCAAAATGTCATCGCGTGGCGATGCTGTAGCAGGCGCGCTGCGGCTGAGCGCCCTGCTCAGCTGAGCAGCGACCCCCCAACAGGGATGCTGACGGCGGGGCGCTTCCGTGCGGAGCGGTGCAGGAGCGTTGGAACGAGAGCAAACAGCGTCAGTGACTTTGTGTAGCAATTTGCTAATCAAATTTGATTTTGTAACGAACTAAACTGACAATCAATTTGAAAATATAAAAGCCTCTTAGAGGGAATAGTCAAGTGTGTCTTCAACAGAAAGATTTAACTGGGGTAACTTCTAATAAAGAGCACAGGATTTTTTTCATTTCCGTTTTTTTTTTTTTTTTGAACAATCACTCCAGAAACTGAGTTGCATTTAGCAGCAGATCCGCAGGACAGTAACTACCTCTCTCTCGGAGTGCTGAGGTGACCACGCTACACACTCTATCAGCAAAGCTTTCACTGAGAACAGATTTCTTTTCCTTACCTCCGTGTTTCAGAAGCGCAGGTCTGCTCTGCAAAGTGGCTCTGTGAAAGTGGCATCTGGCGGGGGCCGGGGGAAGCCTCTCGGGGTCCGTCATCCCTCTTTGCCGCCCGTTTCTTGCTGTGACCCGTGCAGGTTCGCTCTGGGGCTGTGACGGTTCTTACGTCACGGGTTCTGCGTGACGGTGAACTGTCCCGTGGGCCAAAGGCTGCCACCAGAGCTGAGAGACTGCAGGCTCAGCGTCCTGCACTGGGAAATTAGGTAGCGGTGTGGAAGGGGAGAGGAGAATCCGTCTCCCTCCTGCCTCCAAGGGAGCAGGCAGCAGTAAAAAAAGCAATAAAATAAAAGGAGGGAGCGACGCTGCCCGAGCCCACGCTGCCTGGCAGCTCTACCTCCCGCTCCCAGCGCCGCCCAGCCGTGCTGTAGCACTAACAGGCCCGGCGCACGTCGCGGTCCTGTTGTAATCGGTCAAGAGAAACCCACCCTTGCCTGTAACGAATATTTAAACCCCGTTGCAGTAGGTCAGAAGTGACACCCCGTCACAAGACGGCCGACGGCCCAGCCGCGCCAAGCTGAACGAGCAAAGCCGCAACAAAGTTGTCACTGGGGGCGTGGGGTTTTATCCCATAGCGTGGATATGGAGCCCTAGTCAGTTCAGTATTTTTATTTCTTTTTTTTTCCGTTTCTAAATTCAAGTTTGTGTCTCTCACATTGATTCTGCTCTGAGCTGGTTTGCAGAGTAACCAGGCGTAAGAAGAATTGTGCCGTCACCTTCCACTGTTGGCCTGTAAATCAGAATCTTAAGACAGGTCTCCTAACACTCGAGACTTACTTCCACAGTTAAGAAATTTCCTGCTGTACTAATAATTCTTTTTTATTATTATTATTTTTGGTTGCAATCCTTATTTCAAGGAAATAAAGTTTTAAAAAGTCAGTGTTCACCCTAGTCCGCAGCAGGCTGAAGCGTGAGCCTGCTGTGTGCAGCTTGTGGATCTGGGGCTGTTCCGAGAGGAGTTCAGGAGCCGCTTCCAAGCTGCTCCTCTACCCTTGCTTTCCTTTTCCCCTTCCAGTGGGAGAAAAAAACTTGTGGGTGCCCCGCGGGCCCGGTGCCCGCCGGCACGCAGGGACGGCCAGCGCTGCTGGGGGGGACGCAGGCAGGGGTGGGGAGAGAACCAGCGCTGGGGAAGGGGGAAACAAAACCAAGGTAGAGGGGACTGGACAATTGCATTGAAAGCAGTTTAGCAAAAAGCGCTCTCGTTGGACAGCTTTAAGAACAATGTGAATGAAAACTTAGCAACTTGGGTAGGAATCTCTGAAAATTCTATAAATGTATACTTGAAATTCTGTTTGTATTAAAAACAAAAAAAAAAAAATCGCATTTTCTTCTTCCTTTTAACACTGTGAAAAAGAACATTATGCATGTGAGTGGTTTGAGAATTAAATGGTTTAATACTCAGCTCCGTGTCTGTGTTCTGTAGCCGACTGGTCTGGTCAGACGTCGGTTTTCTCTTTGCCGCCCGCTCCAGCTCAGCCATGGTGCGAAAGCCTGGTCCCTGCTCCGCGCAGCTCCGCAGCGTGGGAGAGGCTGGGCTGTGCCAGGCAGCTCCTGGCATCTTCCA